ACACACAGAAACTCACTGACACATACACTCACTGACTGACAGACACTCACTGACAGACATACACTCACTCACTGACAGACACACACACACACACACAGACACTCACTGACAGACATACACACACACTCAGATTAAATTTTACGTAGAGAAATGTAAAGTTATACACTTCGGGGTCAAAAATGCACAAGCAACTTAGGGATAACCACACACGAGAAGGATTTGGGAATTGTTTTAGACAACAAATTAGGTAGCAATATGCAATGTCAATATGCAGTTGCTAAGGCCATTAAGGTTTTGTGATGTATAAATAGGGGAATAAATTCTCGGGATGAAAATATAATTTTGCCTCTTTATAAATCGCTGGTAAGACCACACCTTGAATATGCTGTGCAATGTTGGGAACCTGTTCTAAAGAAGGATATCATGGCACTAGAAAGAGTGCAGAGAGGAGCTACAAAAATGATAAAAGGAATGGAGCATTTTAGTTACGAAGAAAGGTTAAAAAAGTTAAATCTCTTTAGTTTGGAAAAATGGTGCCTCAGAGGGGATATGATAACATTATACAAATATATTCGGGACCAGTACAAACTAATATCTGGAAATCTATTCATAAACAGGGCTAAACATAGGACACGAGGTCACGCATTTAAGCTGGAAGAAAGGAGATTTCATCTAAGGCAAAGTAAAGGTTTTTTTACAGTAACAGCAATAAGGATATGAAATTCTCTGCCTGAAGAGGTGGTTTTATCAGAGTCCATACAGATGTTTAAACTGCAATTGGATAAATACTTGCAAAAACATAACATACAGGGATATAATTTCTAATTAGTGGGGTAATAGCTGCTTGATCCTATGTGACATCTGACAGCTATTTTGGGGTCAAGAAGGAATTTTTTCCTAGTTTGTTGCAAAATTGGTAGCGCTTCAGACTAGGTGTTTTTGCCTTCTTTTGGATCGACAGCAAAAACATATGTGAGGAAGTCTGAACTTGATGGACACAAGTCTCTTTTCAGCTATGTAACTATGTAACTCACTGACAAACATACACTCACTCACTGATACACACACAAACACACACACACACACACACACACACACACAGAAACTCACTGACAGACATTCACTCATTGACACACACACATACACTCACTGACAGACATACACTCACTCACACACATGCACACACACATACACTCACTGACAGACATACACTCACACACTGACAGACATACACTCACTCACTGACAGACAGACACACACACTCACTGACAGACACACACACACAGACAGACATGCACTGACAGACATACACTCACACACACACTCACTGACAGACATACACTCACTCACTGACAGACACACACACAGACACTCGTTGACAGACATATACTCACTGACAGACACACACACACTCACTGACAGACACACACTCACTCTATGACATACATACACTTACTGACAGACACACACAGGCAGACACTCACTCACTGACAAACACTGACATACATACACTCACTGACAGACACACACACACACACACACAGGCAGACACTCACTCACTGACAGACACACACAGGCAGACACTCACCTCTCTGGGGTCCAGTGTGAGGCAGCTCCTCACTCCTCCCACCCGCTGTTTAGTATGCCGGAATGACGTCATATTCCGGCTCCCAGCATCACAGAGGCCGTACGAGGGAGGAGTGAGAGGCTGCAAGAAGAGCCTCCCTCGCCACCTGCCTTCTCCATCCCCCTCTTCTCCGGTCACCGGCATTTGATGGCAGAGCAGGCACCTGCCATCAAGGTAAGAAGGTGTCTGCTCTGCCATACTGTGACAGGGCTCCTCTGGGCGCCCCCACATTCGGGTACCTGGAGCTGAGGGGGGTGGTTCTAGAGCCGCTCGCCCAGCGCTGCGGTTCAAGACAGGGGCAGCCCACCAGGAAATATCCCAGTGGTCGCCCCCCACAGGCCGGCGTCCCAGGCGAATGAGGGCAGACTTGGTGCCACTGAGGGCAGACTCTGGAACTGCAATGTTTAACATTACAGCACTAAATGCAAAAGGGTCACAATGTTAAATAAATAGAAAAACATTGATTATCTGGTCTCATAAATTTGTACCCATATATTTCCAGCTTCTTTCATTGTTTCAAGTCTGGCAAAATATATTACAGACGTTGATGTACATAGACACAAACATACAAACTACCAGGCACACAGACATACTCATACAGACATCCACATTCAGGCACAAAGATATGCAAGCCTAAACACACAATCATATAGTGATATAATTATACAGACACAGACGTGCAAGTGCAGGCACACCAATCAACAGAAATATGGCCACAGACACACAATCATACAGGCACACAGTTATAGAGACACAGACATACAGCCATACACAGATTTAGAGATGCATACTAAGCTTTATGTACAAACAAGGCCAGTCACAGAACAGGGGACTGAGGGCTAATAATAATAAAGGAAACATTTTAGACCAGGGCTTTTCGGGGGCACACTCAGGGCTCTAGCCTGGGTCCACGCTCACTGCCGATGCCCCTGCCTTCAAGAATATCTGACCTCAAATAAAAATTTCCTGTAGTGGTTCCGTCTCGCACTTAAACTTTCATGATGTGTGGCTTCCACTAAAAAAAATTTATTGAGCTCTAACATCTGAAGGTTTCCACAAATGGACAGATCGCTTAACTTGGGGTTTATGTCAAGATTTTCACTGGGCCATGCCAGAAGACTTCACCTTCCTCCAGAGCCACGGTTTCATAGATCTGTTTGTTTTGGATCATTGGATAACCAACCTATTTTAGATTTAACTTTGGATCACAACCCACATGTTCTAATCTATATAAAGAATCCATGGTTGCATTAAGCCACTCATGTTCCAATTCAGCATGATAGCCTCAAAATAGCCAAACTGGAAACATATCGAATTAAAGAATGTTTCCAATATTGCTATTTTTGGACTAAACTCGCTTAGAATGAACTGTTTACATGTAATATCAACATAAAAGCAAAAGATGTAAGTAACAATGTGTTCACAGTGGTTTGTTTGCAGGTGTACTTTTAATATCACATGTGCTTATTGAAAAGTAGAACAAAACCACAAGAGTTTGAGTATTTAACCTCTTTCCCAGTATGTGTCCACTTGTTTACTGAATTGGAACTTTTTTTTTTGTTATTTCAAATTTTTCATGAAGCAAATACAATAATAAAAAGTTGACATTGCAACTAAAGAGTCATTATTGGTTGCATAAGAATAGCACGTTTTTGCAGAGTAGTATCAGGGTAGATTGCGGATTATAATCATTTGGTATAAGCCCTATGTTTTTAAGGAATAGATGAAGAGGAACAGTTGTGTAATCAACTGAACTAACCATCCTTGAGGCCCCTGAAATAGTCAGACAGCAGGCAGATGTCTACAGTAATGATTAACTGAAAAAGTGACAAATATAATAATTAGAAAAGAAATATAAATCAACAGAAAATATGGCTGTATTGCAGTTGCCCTTTTTCTGAGGCAGAGGTTACTAACAAAATGCCAAGGAAAGAACAGGTCTTAGAACCCAAGTCAGCCAATACAGACAGTCCCGCAGTTGAGGGAAATGCTTCAAGCCTTGTAGCCCAATTGTAGACAGATGCTGTATCAAACTGGAGTGGTGGAATAGTCCCATTAAGTGGAATATCAACGATGGCTCTCTTGAAGTCCCATTCTCCTGAGGAGGGCCAGTTCCTAAAAAAAGATCAGTATTCAATCTTCCCCAATGTGGAGTGCAGTAACCTCTGTCGCCATGTTTGAGCCCAACCTGGCATTGAAGATACTGAAAGGAGCTAGGTCTCTAGAGGATCTTGATGGGTCAGCTTCTACCTAAAATCTGCGAAATTCTATCAAGCTTGCACATAGTAAGACGGCTCCCACTGCCGAAATCAAATGGGTACGTGGCGCACGCCATTTTAAATAGGGCTGTATCTTCCGCTTGTGCTTCAGCACCACGAAACCTCCATGGTGTAGACCGGGATCACCCCAACTGGTCCAAAAGGCTGGAGAAATGGGACTAAAGCTAGCAATATGGGCAGCTTGGATCGCTCTTGGATGGTGGAACCAATCGCCTCTCTCCTTCTCAGGGCTCACCAGTCCTCAAATCAGTGTTCCGAACATGTTCGTTTAGAGTGAGAATTACTGATATTGAGCTCAGTGCAGACTATTGTTCCTCAAATGTCCACCTGAAGCATTGTCTGAGTAAAAAAAAAAACAGCCAGAAATCCTTGAATAGTTATTTGAACGTCTGAAGCTGACTCAGGATGCGTCCGTCTGGCGTGGCAGCCCTCACTGAATTGGAAGTTCACCAAATCATTTCTGGAAACTTCATATAATTTTTCTGTATAATAAATAACTTATTTTTCTTTACCAAGACTGAGTAGCAATGTACTATATTCAATTAAATTTTTTAATAAAGCTGCATTTTTAGCTCATCCGATCCTGTTAAGCAGATTTAAAAAGAAAGATTACCAACATGCTTGAGAAGTTAAGCTGCCAAATAAGGTGAAGTGCTCCATCTAGTGGTACACCATATGTACTCCTGTCCTGATGCTTGGAAGCGTTTTAATGATGGCTGCTATACACGTCTTATTTTAAAGTGTGCCTACACTGAAAATATAGCAATAACACTGAACATCGGTATGCAAGCAAAAGTAGAGTGTAAACATTTTTCCCCTTTTTAAACAATGAGGTGTTTATTCACTAACCATCAAATTGTACTTCACTAAAAATTGCAAATTGCAAAATTTTGCAGTTCAGTTAATGTTTAGTAAATAAACCCCTAGAATCTGAAGAACATGGTACAGGATCAAATTCAAGATGAAAGAGTCTGAAGATGAGTGGGGAGTGGGGATCTGAGTGCTATCGTTTGTGCACTTATTAAAGGAATACTTCAAGCACCATAATAACTACAGTGGGCTGTAGTGATTATGGTCCCAGTAGTGTCAGTGTCCTAATGCCAGTGGTGCCATTGCGCTCTACCCTCTCCCCCAATGTAAGAAGTAAAGCTGTTTAAAAACAGTTTGACTTCTTACCTGGGGGTGCTGATGTGGTTTCCTGCCTCCACTATTACTCAGTGGTAGTAGCATCCAGCAAACCCCAGGTAAGATGCCAAACCTTTCTGAAACAGTTTAACTCCTTACAATGGACTGGGGAGAAGGGGTTCCAGGACATTCCTGACACCATAACCACTATAACCTAGCTTAATGTAGTGGTTATAGTGCTAGGAGCATTTCCTCATTACCTGTAATTTTATATGGCATGCCAAGGTGCAAATATGCAGTTGGCAAAAAATAAAATTCAATAGTTTGTCTGTCAGTAACAATTACATACATGCAGCATTCTAAATGCACCCAATATTTATTAGTTTTTTGGCACTCTGAATGTTGTTGACTATACCCACTGTAAAGCGCTGTGGAATTTGTTGGCGCTATATAAATAATGACATAATAATAGCATAATAATATCTTCCACAGACTGGCAAAGCATCAGGGGAGACGTACTCCACAACAGGCCTGTGTTTTGCTTTTCTGATTTATTGTGAGACAAAGTGGTATTATAATTTTTGTACACACTGGTATGTTCAACCATTAGAGAGCGTAATTTACTGTCTGTGATTTCACTCATCTCTGTTCTAAAGCATGTCCTCTGTTTTTCAAATTTCTGGTGGCACCTCCAAACCAAGCTGCCTTATGATGTTGAAGGGCCAGGAGCATTGTGGTACAGTTTTTACATTTGTTTTGAATATTTTTATTGTTGTCATGTCATAAACTCGTACATCAAACATATTTACGTTAAAGCAGGTAGTCGCATACGCAGAGGCGAGTATATCGGATCATTTAACTGTGCATAAACTTTGCGAGGATTTATATGTCTAGGCTTAAAACAAATATGTGACAGGAGTGTTCTGGCGCTGTGTTCCAACCTTTATAACAATATAAAAGGCAATTAATGGCATGTGTCTGGCTAATTACTCAGTCGTGGTTGCTGATGCGGAATTTCTCATCATGAACATATAACGTATATCGGTCTGCGTGTGACAAATGATTATTAACCAAATCTAAACCGAAGTAAGTATGCTGTTGCATTGACAGGTCAAACTTACTTAGGGCAAATAGCAGTTTTGGTCAATCCTTACCGAACACTCAAAGAAATACCGTGTTGCAATAAGGAGGCAAATAGAGGCAGTGACGTTTGGTATGGCTATCTGAGAGAATAAGGAAATAACTAAATCCCAACCGAAGTGTGCTGTTGAATTGACAGGTCAAACTTAAGTAAGGCAAATAACAGTTTAGGTCAATCCTTAACGAACCCTTAAAGAAATGCAGTGTTGCAGTAAGGGGGCAAATAGAGGCAGTGGCGTTTGGTAAGACTATTTAAGAGAATAATGAAAAAGCAAGGCCTTTTATATTGCTTACAGCTATTCCAAGTGAGGCAGTGTGTGCATTAATTTACGACCTTAAACTTTAGCTCATATGGGCACTGCAGCATAAACATGGCTAAAACAATATATTAAGCATGCATCGTGAGGCTGTGATAGGTCGTAGCTGTTTGTCCTATAGCAGCACCTTGTGAATTATGACACAGGCATGCGATAATAATGAATGTATAAAGAATAGAAATCAATAATAAGAACTATAACAATATGGGAGCAAGGCTGGTAGTAACTTGTGTGGGGGCTGTATGGCAGTCTGAGGGAGGCCCCTAAATGTCTCTGCTGCAGTGCAGTCCTCAGGTCACCGAGACTCCGTCCGTTCTCCTCACACCGGCCGGGTCCTCTGCGACGCCATGGGCACTCAGGGGCAGAGATTGCCCACCACAAAGTCTGCAGCCCTCCCGCACCATGCACCTCCCCAGCACCTCGTTGTTCCCTATGGAGCGAGCACTCTCGTGTCTCTCCCAGTGCCGGCCTCACACTTAAAGCTGGTACACAACCCTCACGGCCACCGGTCAGCCGGCAGGGCAGCACACTCCCGCCTCACAGGGCTCACGGCAGCGGGGACATGGTTCTCCGGGGACCCCCTGTACCCAGAGACTGGGGTACTCACTGCTCCGGTCGTCGTGTGGGCAGTGCGGAGGTTCCGCCCAGCGCTCAGTATCACCTGGGCCTGCACGAGCCGTCTATGTCAGTCCCCCATGTTAAATTTTGCTGTGGCCCTCCAGGTGTGTTAAGCTGTGTTGGAGCACCTTCATAAATGAGTGGCATGAGTCGCCGCCATGCGGCCGGGATAACCTCCGCCGGCCGGGGGGGGGGCAGGACTGTGCCCTGGGCCGTGGGTTAAATCATGTCATGAGGAATTATCTGTGTGGCGTCTCTCGGGGCTGCACCTCTCTGCGGCACCATGCCGCGTGTTGTGACAGCGGGCGGTCGGGTGCTCTGCTGCGTGTAGGCCGGGCACGGCCTCCATTGCCCGTCTGGCTTGTAGACTTTGTGCCGGCGTCCGAGATGCGCTGGGACTTTTAAGCAGTCTGGAACGGATTTTTGTGCCTTTTTGCTCGGGTTAGTGCTGCAGCCCATGCATATGGCGTCTATTCGGCCTGGTTGCCCGGCCCCGTCCCCCAGTTTTTACATTTGTATATTATTAATATACCATAGAGAGGTGAAATATCCACAGTTTAATAATGAAGTAAAATCAATCTTAGGCCCAACGGTCTAACAAGACGCTCCCTTTAATGATTTGTAACTATCTCTATAAGAGCTGCTATATATGAGGGAATGGCTAAGGAAATGTTTATGGAATAGAGGTCACTGCAAATAATAGGATTTAATTTATAAGTTTAATAATCTCACTTCAGTCACAAATACAAGGTCTACACCCTGTTCCAAATTATTATGCAAATGATATTTTTCTCATTTACCTAAATAATTGATGTAAATAACAGTCAGCATAACTCTCATGTTATCAACTATTAAGAGTACAATTCAAATTTTATTGAACAAACCTCCTAATGATAACAGTATTTTTTTTTTAAACATAAAAAACTTACAATGCACTGTTCCAAATTATTACACATAGTAAGTTTCAAAACACTTTATAGGTTGTAAAGAACTGAAAATTGTCATTTGGTGTTTTTGCAGCATATTTACTGAAATCAAAAGCTATTTCAATCAAACTTATAACAACATTTTAAATTTTAACATAGGAACCTACTACTCCATCCATCTGGACCATCCAGGGTTGCACGGCACTCATCAGTGAACAGGACTGTTTGAAAATTAGTCTTCGTGTATTTTTCTGCCCAATGCAGCCGTTTCTGCTTGTGAGCATTGGTTTGTGGTGGCCGAATAGAAGGTTTATGCACAGTTGCAAGACTCTGGAGGACTCTACACCTTGATGTCCGTGGGACTCTAGAGGCACCAGCAGCTTCAAATATCTGTTTGCTGCTATGTAATGGTATTTTGCTCTCTTGATCTGATGCATGCATCTGGCAGAAATCTTCCTCAATGTGCCTTTATCTACACAAACCCGTCTGTGCTCTGAATCAGCCAAAAATCTCTTAATAGTGCGATGATCACGCTTAAGTTTTTGTGAAAGATCTAATGTTTTCATACCTCGTCCAAGGCATTGAACTATTTCACTCTTTTTGACAGCAGAGAGATCCTTTTTCTTCCCCATAGTGCATGAAAATGGTGCTCTGCTTAATAATGTGGAGCACCCTCCTTTAGTAGTTTTTCCTTAAATTGGGCTCACCTGGCAATCTAATTATCACAGGTGTCCGAGATTGTTTTCAGTGATCAAAAGAGCCCTGAGACACAATGCCATCCATGAGTTAAACTGAAAAACAAAATATTTAATCTTTGTTACACTTAAATAGAATTTGCATAATAATTTGGAACAGGGTGTAGTGTGGGACCACCATTGTAAGTGGCAAAGGGGACAGTTTGTGTAAAGCCCAACGCTTGCATTATGGAAAGTAGATCTTACCCAAACTGTGAAACATTGATATCCACCAGAATAAGCCATAAGCAATCATCTAAAATTAGTTCATCCACCAGCTCTGAGAATTTCTGAAGGAATAGCTCCCCAGGAGGACAATAGGTCAAAAGAAAAAGATTTTGGATGCCTGACTGTACAAAATTTGTATAGTTTTTTTTTACTTTTAAAGGGGGGCTAAATCTAAATCTGCGGGAAGGAACTCTAATGGTAAACATACATGTTTGTAACATTAGAGTTTCCCCTTAAATATTTACTCAGTTAACTATGGCACAAAATCTTGTATCTTGTATTAGAATTCTGCGGTGCCTACAGACACCTGACACATAGACCCACCCTGTATGTTGATGGTATTTAGAGAAAGGGTGCTGAGTGAGGTTTGTGTCAGGATTCAGCTATAACATGGCTTAATGTGATAGGAGTTGAAATGCAGCAAAGCTGGAGTGTCTGAGATTGACTTACCTTTGTCACCTTTATTTTGAGTCCCATCCATATCTTTAAGCCAAATAAGGCAATCTATTATATATGAGGCTTATGTACAATGTGTGTTATCCTCAATGTTCTAATGGAATCCAGAATAACATTCTAAGGGAGGGATAAGCAAAAGTAAGTTTTTGTAATCACTGGAGTGAGAAAATAAACAAATGCCTGCAGCTAATCCTGTGATCATCGTGGCTTTTAGTGGTCTAAACTCTTTAACCCAGATAGACTTGAAGAAGGGCTCACTTTAATGGACGTGATCCTTGCACACATCCCTTGATCTTAATAATGCCTTGAACTATTTTCAGGTCTTATCGGCTGTCTGGGACCAAAGCAGTGCAGTCATTTAATGGTTGCCTTAGGTCATGTATTAAGATGCCGTCAACATATTTCAATTACATTTAATTGTTTTGATATAATCAGGAGGAAAAATAAAGCTGACTTATTGCAGCCGCCAAATCTAAATGATATTAAAGGGAACGATAAAGCAAAACATATATTGGAATGCTCAGATTACCATATAGGGAAAGAACACAGCTTATATTTTATTTTTAGAGTGAAATTGTCATTAGTAAGATCTTTTTGCACAACCTGCTGGTTAACAAAAATGTTGCTATGGGAGGTGCTTCAAAAAAAATCTCAATGTTTTATATATTTTAAAATTTGTGTTGCATGCCTGGCTGTAGTGACTCTGCCATGGCACACCATGCAAATTAATTTAACCCCCCATAGTGCCATGTGCACATATGGAACTATAGAAGCTAGATTGAGCGCTGGAGCATCATAGGCTGATGGTGTTACCCTAAATAAGGAAGTGCTGAACAATTAAATATTAATTTTGAATCTCACCTGCACTACACACGTCAGTAAACAGCTCTATTCACTGCCACAGCATAAAACATCATTGATGAAGTAACATAGAAATTATTTCCCTTCATATAGGAGGATGTTACGGCAGCCCATCCCAAATATGCAAGTCGCTCTACACAAAATGCCCTGACGTTTGGTTGGCAGGTAAAAGCATTTTTACACTTCCAGTCATGCCCTGGGACTGTTTATGTTCTGTTGCAGTCTCAAGTAGGCTGAGAGTGTATTCATGTTGTATCTCTGATCATTTGGTTTTCGACTTTGGCTTGTTTTCTGACCTTCCTGATTACTCCTATCCTGACCTTAGCTAGTCTCATCCTTGTAAGGATATGAAAGAGTTAACTCTTTTTGTTTTATATGCTTTAAAATAATGTTTAAATTAATTATGCTGACCTTGGCATGAGTATTCTGTGACATGCTTTGAGAGGCCTCCCTTCTACAGGATGTATGGCCTCGCTCGACCTCAGGATGTTCTTGTCCCGTCTTTATTCAAATGCTTATCTTTTAATGTCAGACAAGTATGTACTATTAACTACAAGGAAACGATAAATCTCGCTGCTTGCGTGACAAACTCTGTATAAATGCTAGCCCATAAAATATACTCACTGAGAACTTGTTAAGCACTCTTTCGTGTCTGTGTCTTAATTTGCTAAACAAGAATTCCCGTCAATTGATGTGGTGACTGGAGAATCGAGAATCGATGGGAGTTGAATCCAGAACAGTATTAACCCTTTCAGCTTGGTGTCTAAAGTGGGATCAGCAAAGCCATTGGGTAAGTAGCCTTTTTGTGTCTTATTGACGCT